CAAACCCAGTATTGGTATGGAAATATTTTTGTGGAAGTATTTTTTAATGGGAGGATCAAATCTCGATTGAATCAATCCTCACTTGAAGTGATATACTCCTAAGATAGGTTTATCACTTCAAAAATAATTAAGCCCAGTTCTAATTCAGTTAATAATACTGACTTGCCTTATAGACCTGCAGTATAAATAACTAAGTAAGCATGATTAAATAGAAGTTTATAAAGCACTTGAATGAAGATTAAGGTGATGTATACTTCAAGTGTGATTTGGAAAAAGTGCTTGGCCTTCAGGTAAATATTGCACTGAGCTGTTCATTCAAATAATCTGACCTTTTTCAGGTTTCCGTGTAAGCTTGAAAGATTGTTTCTCCAGAGAATCTGCTCCTTAAAATTAAGGTGACTTTTGCTGGATAAACTGAAAATATATGAAATAGATCATAATTCTTCAGTGAATACCAGAGAGCTGTTTTTATAATGTCTAGTGCCAAGCACATCCTCTAAGTCTTATTTGAAGTGTGTAGAGCCCTTGTCGCCTTCTAGTCACAAGGAAACAAATTTGACTCTTAAATGGTTAAATTGCTCCTTCTGTTAGGATATTTTTCCCAGTATTCAATATACCTGCCTAAAACTTAAGTACAATTATTCCATTATTCCTTTGAAACCTTCCCCAAATGTTGCTTATGTTCTTTACTTTGGGGTGAGAGAGAATTGCCCTTAATTTATTCTGTCTGGTACTCTTCAAATATTTTCTGAATGTTTATATTTCCCTTATTCTTCTGAAACACATTTCAGCTCAGTATCTAGTAAATAGACAAGGTAGATATCTTTGATTTTGTTTGATAACTGTTTTTCTTGGGATTTCTTTGTGTTCTTCTTGTTCTTGTTACGCTTGTATAGAACTTTCTTTAATCAAAGATTTTCACACACATTACACATACTTCTCCTTATCTTCTCTGCTGAATTTTATAGCTGTGCTTCAAAATGGTAGCTGTTTAAGAATGCTCATTTCACTTAACCAAAATCATATATTGATCATTGCATTGTGTAGTGATTAAGCCAAAATCTAGGTTAAAATTCCAACCTACTTATGGAAGTTTCTGAGTGACTATGCTCAGTTACTCTCTTTCAGCACAACATAGGCAATAAAATGATGGAAGGCACACTTGGGAGATTCCTATATGAGTTCCCAACAGAAAGTTGTGGAAGGACTTTGATAAAAGACAAATTTTAAAAGAAAGAAGCAGTGGACTTTGGCTTTTGAGGCACTATGTAAGTGCATACTATAATATTGTACTCTTTTATTTTATATAGTTTCTAGGCACTTCAAAGTCTGGTCTGAAGAATACTTCACCATCAGTAAAGGCCTAGGACTTATTGCAAAACAGTCAACAGATTCTTCAAAGAGAAATCTAATATAGGAGTAATTGCTCCTCTGTTACTAAGTGCGACTGGAATTCTAAATAAAAATTTAATACTCTATAAAGACGGAAGATCTTATTGGGCAGAAGGACTGTGCTTGGAAAGATAGAATTTAAACCATAAAATGAAATTATTTCTAATGAAAATTTACTCATAAATTTGCCGTGTTTTGGATTTAAATTAACACCAGATGGAAAGTGCTTTATTTCATGGAAATAAGTTTCATCATAGAATTTTATGATGCCTTTCAAGTTGCTTTTTGCACCTGCATCTAACATTGTGTGTAAGGGGTTAACTGGAAGCCGTTTTAAAAGAACATGTATGAATTGGTAGATGGATTAGGATACTTGATTCTTGATACCTCAATAAAGTAGTCTGTGACCTAATTGCAAAGAAAAATTACAAAACCTGAATTTTATGTTTATTTATACCACATCCAGTTTTCAAATATGTACATGAAATAAGACTTTTAAAATTAAAGTATTATTTACAAATCTTTGGCTCTATAATTACAGATTGCAGCTTAGAGATCAATAGGTTAAAGCCCTGTGTTATTTGCCAAATACCACAAGATGGCAATGTTTGAGAAATGTTATGTCCTGCTGTAATCACCTGAGTGCTTTTTAAATGAAAAGCTGTGCTAAGTAAAGCACCAAGGCAGAATTACTATAGAAGAATTTAAAGTCTCAATTGCCTAAAAACATTAGAATTAGAAATTCTTGTGTGCTAATGTCAGTAGGAATGTTGCTTTAATTAACGTAATATCATAGCTTCTAATGAGAGTATATTAACTCATCGTAGTACTCCATTTTGGTATGAACATGCTTTGCAGAGCACAAAAAAGGAGTAAAAGTAGCTAAAAAACCTAATTAAGAGTAGGAGAGAAGAAACAAAGGCAACATAGCTAAAATTAGCTTGTACAAACTCCATTCATTGCATCTCTATGGATCCTTCTACCTTTACTTCCAATAAACTGCATCATGTTTTCCCTTCATTTCTTTAAACTAGTCACCTTTTCGAGGATATTGTCAAATACCCCCAACCACAACTTTCTTGGACTTCCCTTTTCTTTAAATTGGTCAGTTTTGTTTTCAGTCCACATTCATTCATATCTATTCATTTGTAATTATCTCTTCTGGTTTTACCACCTTATATACTTCATTCCGATTGCATTCAATTGACTGTTTTCTCTGACATACCCAACTCTCACTTTCATATAACCAAGCGAACAGATTCACACTTGTACACACAGCCACTTCTGCTACACTGGACAAACATTCATTCCTCACAACACACTAGTTTCTACCCACTATCTGTCCACCAGCAATTGTACATCTTAAATTTATTCTTTTTGGAATGAATGTTTCAAAATATACCAATTCTAACAGGGTACCCAAATTTGCTTATTTGATCTAATTTTGGACCATTTGTGTATAGCTTGTTATAATTAATTTCATTTTCCATCTCAAACACAACTACCTTAGTCCTTCATACATTCATTTTCAGCTCCTTGTTCCTCATTGCCTCACACAATTAATCTAAATTACCATTCAGTAAATTATTTTAGTTCTCGAAAAGCATCACCTACATTAGAAAATACACATATAGACATATTCCCAACTGACATACTTCTCATATTCTCATAACCATTTATTTTATATAATAAAAAATATAGCCTTTACTATATCATTTTACAAAGCTAAGTATTGAATCATTCCCTAAGATGTTTGTTTAATCTCATTTACGCTTCATTATGTTACTCTTATTGTAGTCGGCAGCTAACCTGGAACTCCTTATTCTTGCAAAATATTCCACAATTCAAGCCTATTTACTTAATCACTTGTTTTCTCTAAACAAATAAAGATGCAACAAGCTTTTTTTCCTTAATGAACGGTTGAAATGTGAAACTGTTTTGTATATGAACACTTCCCAAATTTTGTTTTGTTGAAAGGTGTCAAAATGCCTTTCTTTCGAGAATTCGATTTTCCTGCTGGGAGAGCTCCGGCGCAAGGATACGGACAACTGCTTGAAAGCTGGATCTTTTTATTTTTCAGGAAGGCGGAGAACAGCGAGAAGTCTGTGTTCCTGGGCTAGCTAGCTTCTTATGGTAAGCCCCTGGTTTTTTATACCTTTTCTCCCTTTGTAAGTTGATTTTGTGTGAGTGTTTGTATTTGTGCCTAATGTTTCAAATCCTGTTTGAGTTTGTTTTTATTTCCATCAGAGGGCAAACTCCGCGGGGTGCGGAAGGCAAACTCTGCAGGGTGGCCAGATTGTATTATTGGTTTTCTGTAATCTCTTTTAGCTTTAAGATAGTTTTTCATATTTGTTCTGTGGCAATCTCCTGTCTGTCCCTTTTGTAATTTATATTTTGTGTCTTTTGTCTGTTTGTTATTTGGTATGTCCTGTGTTTGTAAGGGTTTTCTAAATTATCTTTTGTTTCCTTTTCCTATTTGTCTAGTTTTCTTAATTACTTAGGCTTTTGTCTATAGGGATTCTTTAACACTTTTTATTTGATTCCTTTTCCTATGTAAGTTTTTTTTCTGGCTGACCTGATGTTCCCCTTGGGCTTTTCCTGTTTTTTGTGGCACTATTGCCTTTGTGAAATTCCCTTTCCACAGCTTGTTGTCTTTTTAATCAGAATTCTGCCAGATTATAGCATCTTCCAATTGTCAGATATAGACGCAGTGTTCAGATACAGTAAAGATGTTGTGCTCCCATCCATATTTTAACATTTCTTGTTATATCTTTGCAGCCCCACCACTTTTTGACACTTGTACAATATTTGATATCTTTTTCATCACTTTTTCTTTAACTCTAATATATGTTACAGCATCCATGGATAACTAAAATACTCCTGCTAGCAGTTTCTCATTTTAGTTTCATTTCAAATAATTTCATCTCTTCTGTAGCCAGGCCTCATTTAGCAATGGCCCCCGTTAAAAACTGTTTGCAAATACTTATGGTAGTAAATGGTAGTGAAGTTTCCCCCCCAACAAATGTCCACGCTTTTATCCACATTTCTGCCCCTGACAACAATGCATGCTAGATTGAGAATAAGGCTGGCATTGCTGAGATCTTTATCTGAGACAGCAGCAACAGACATCTTTACAATCTCTCTCTCTCTCTCTCTCTCTCACACACACACACACACACTCTTAGTCATGTAGTTTGCTTAGTGACTATTTCGCTGGAATGAATTGCAGCCATTAAACAAGAAGATAATGTATTTTTAATCCATTCACTCTGCTGCAGACCTTTATTCAATCACCTTGCGATTTTTTTTTATTTCCCCGAAATTTACTCTGTATTTTGTTCTACTTCTACCAATGAAGTTTATCAAATCCTAGAGGAGAAAATGTCAACGCCATCTGATTAAAATGGGGAAGGGGAAGACTTGGAAAGAAAACCTGAATAGGCAACTCTTACCAATGCAGAGTCTTCTCAAAGACTTTTGAACACACAGGGGGCTTTCATACCATCAGTGGAGATGATATTGTGGAATTTAAAAAGTGTGGCTTCCATTTGAAATCTCTCTGGTGTATGTTGCTTCTCTTCACAAATACACTAGGAGTCCTGACCCTATGACTCAAACATAGGTTTATTTAAGACTTCCAGCATTGTCATATAAGCACATCCTCATGTGGCTAGGATAGTATTACTTTATAATCAGAATGACGATCACAATACAAACAATACTGCTTTTATTTCCATATTGGCAGCATAACCAGAATATATTCTACATTCTTGTCATAAATTAGTATGTTTAAATAGGTATTTTGTTAGCTATATATTTATAAAAAAAGAAATCATATAATCTAGAATCCAACAATAACTATACATGTCCAAGAAACCTTTAAAACCATGTGTACTTGTCCTCTTCTATTTCTACTTTGTAATTCCAAGATGACACCACACACTGTTCCTGTCTTCTCAGGTTATTTGAATTCCAATTTATAATTGGATCACATTGAAGTACTTGACATTAAACCCCCTCAGACACCTTTATTTAGGACCTCCATCTTGACTGATTCAAAAGATTATTTTTATTAAGGTAGATTGATCTGATGAATCTGGTGATTAAAAGTGTTAAAATTAAAACAGGGAAATTCACTTTATTACTTGGCAGTAATATGTTGTTAACTGAATGCATTATCATTTTGTATGAAGAATGTTATTTTTATTGAATCTGATTGGAAAACTCCCAAGTAGTGGCAACAAGGGAGTGGATATTGACTTCTAGGCACGCAGTTGATCATGAGATGAAGCACCAACAAAGATCTTAATATATTTGCATTAAGAGTCTTGATTTTAAAGACAATTCAAAAGCAATTTGAATTAAATAGGCTGCTCTGGTAAATGCTTAGGATATATTTATCAATTGGAAGCTTTGTCAGCACAATATAATGGAAAATATGGCACTAAGTCACCACAGACAATAACTTAGATTTATAATAGATACACAATTGCTGTAGCTCCAAATAATTCACCTGAACTGTGGATAAGATATGGGCTTTATTTACCAGGCATGCTATTGAATTAACCCATTTTCTTGGCTTGTAGAAATGGATTGGATTCACATCATATGCCAATTAGAAAAAAAATGAATTTAAAATTAATCAAATTTAGGATGTGGAAATCCAGCTGTTATCTTTTTAACTGGCTCAATTAATTGTGTTGGGTGAAAAAAGTCTCAAAGAGTAACTTTTATAAGATTTACATTCTTACTTCCATTTATCTAGTTTACAATAATCTCTGAGTAGTCTAAGAATGATATTTTTAATAAGATAGCAGCATAAATGTAGTTAAAAATAAAATTTAAAAAAGGAGAAATATATTTCTATTTCTCTCAGCACTAATTCCTTACTACTTTTTGCAAATAATCCCACACAAAATCACTGTAATTTTCAGAACAGTATATTTAATATCTTGCTTTGCTTTGGTTTCTCTAAAACAGATCTGGCAAAAGAATATCTTTACAGAAATTAGCAAACAGTATCTTGGTTAGTTTCATTGGAACTATGTATATCTTTAATCAATAGTAGGGCCCATCATCTGTCTGGATGTTCTTATACATGTATTCATATTGCAGGTAATACTTGTTTCTGTGAAGACACGAAAGACTATTCCTTGAACTTATAAACATTATTGCAATATAAAGTATTCTAAAGTTCATTTTAAGGTAGCATTCTATTTATTTTGCTGAAATAAAAGCAATATTAATTTCTGATTTTTTAAAATACTTTTCAAGGTGATATTGTATTTTTATTTATATGTAGGAAGAAACAATTTTATTTTGATGGGTCTTCAGGAGTATGTTTGGGTTCGGCTTTCCCTTTCTCTAAGAGGATCAATTCAGTTCTTGCTGAAGATGAAACAATGGGCTCTGATGGTATATCACCTGAGGTTTCATTTTCTTCTTTCTCTTTGAGTGGTAAGGTTTCCTGAGCATCAAAGAAAGTTTCATTTTTGTCTGTTGGACTTTCTTCACCCTTTCCTTCTTTTGAATCTGTTTCCTTTTCTTTGCCCTCTTCCTTGCTCTTTTTTGTTGGAGATGAAAAACCTAACTTAGGAAATTTAAACCATCCTGCTTTTTCAGTTTCTTTGGCAGTATCATTGTCTAATTTGGATGAATCATCAGGTTGAACTTTCTGTTGAGCTTCAGGTTTTGACTCTGATGTTGTGTCGTCCATAGTGGGAGAAAACCCAATACTTGGAAACCAAAGTTTAAATCTACCAGATCTCTTACTATCTTTTTCATCTGTGACCTCATCAATGTTACTTGTAAATGCCATTTCTCCTGCAGTTTCTATAGCAGATTTAGATATCTCTATTGGTTCAGAGTGACTCTCTGCAAATTCACCAGAAGACTGTATGTCAACTGTAAAGGATTTAAGTGTTGTCAGTGTTGCAGCAGAAGAGGTCCCTTCAATATATTCATAAGTTATATCCTTCTCTTTATCAGATGGTTTCACTTCACTCAAACCAGCCTTTTGTGCTGCTTCTCCTGTACCTGAAAGTTGATGATCCTTATCCTCAAATATTTCACCCATACATTTTGTAGAAGATAACTTAACGGGCACATCTAAGCTCACGTGTGATTCTTGGATTTTCACTTTGAGAAGTGAAAATCCAAAAGCAGCAGTTTTAACTTCTGATGGAGGAATCTCAGATTCTTTTACTATTTGAGTGGAGAAGGATTCCTGTATTTCAGCAACATCACCACAGCCAAAGCTAGATTTACTTTCCATCTTTATTTCTTTACTTTCAGTGATTGATCCTTTAACCTGCACTGTTTCACTTGAACTAAATGGATCATCAGGCTGTAGTTTAATTTCAAGTGGTGCTGTTTGAATATCTGGCTCCTTCAGTGTTGTAATTTTAGCGATTGACTTTTGAATGTTACTGTCCATAGTGTCCATTTTCTCTTTAAGAAATTCAGCACTAAATTCCTTTGGCACTTGTTTATGCACATACATTGTTGTATCCACAAAAGAAGAGTCTGTAGATTGGAATTTACTTCCAACTTGTGGTCTCTGAATGGCAGGTTCAGACAATGTTGTAATTCTGGCTTTTGATTTTTGAATATCATCTCCTTTTTCTTCAGGGAACATAGTCTTGAACTGCAATTGAGAAATATCACCATCGGCAGTATCCTTTATATCCACTGTCTCTTCTGAAGTCAGTTTTTCTCCTTCAGAAATTCTATGTGTGAACTTGAGCATTTTGAATTTGGGCATTTGGAAACTTTCTTCTGCATCTCCAAGTTTTTTATCCTGAAATTGGATTCCTGACGTTTCTCCCTCAGGTCTAACTAATGACACCTCCGCCTGCACTTTTGGTGAATCAACCTGCATTTCTCCACCCTGAGATTTACTGCGCAAGTTGGCAAATTTTGGTATCTTGAATTTAGATGCTTTCGTTTTACTTATTTTCTCTTTCTCTTCTGCTTTCACTTCACCTTCTTTAGGCAAATCTTTTTCAAAGCCCTCAACTGGGAAATCAATGATTTCAAAGTCTTCATCAGTGATTGAAACACCTACTTTAACTTTGGAAAGAGTAACAGCAGGCTCTTCTAGGTCAGATTCAATACCAGGAACAATGGCATCACTCTTTGTGGTAGACCACCCAAACAAAGGCAAACTGAATGTTGGCATTTTGAATATACTTTCTTTTCCCTGAGAATCCTTTTTTGGTGACTTCTTTTCAGCCCCCATCTCTTCAGCTTGTCTATCAAGACTTTGCAAAGGTTCTGGGTCTGTAATAGAAGCATCAATTTTCTTTCCCATTGTAATTTCAGTAGGTGGTATCTCAGCCACTGCCATAATGTCTGGTATGACTTGGGGTTGCTGAATGGTCATCTTAGTTTTAGGGATGTTTCTATCAATATCCATCTTTGGGATAGTGCCAATGAACTCAGTTTGAGAACTTTGTCCTTCTGCACCATCTTTAACTATATCAGCATACGTTTTGTGTTCCAGGTCACTAGATTTCCTGCCAATTTTTTCTGAGGACTGTAAAAAACTACCTTCATCCATTAATTGGTCAGTGGTAGACTGTTGTTCTTTCTGTACTCCAACATCCTCTTTAGGAAGCATGACTTTTTGTTCTGAGGTTTTTTTTTCACTGTCAAGTTCCCTTGAGATGGTTACAACTTCAGGAGATTTTGCTTCAGCTTGTAATTCAGTAACATGAGCTTCTCCAGTGATGTCTTCAATTTCAGCACCACTTTTTTTTGCCTTTGAAGTACGACCAAATGAAGGCATTTTGAATTTGGGCATTTTAAACCAACTCTGAGATTCCTCAGTCGGAATTTCTTCAGAAGTTCCTTCATCACTTTTAACTTGTAAGGGCTGAGTTTTTCCACCAAGTTCCTCAGATTCTGTAGTCATTTGAAACTGAGAAGCATCAGATTCAGGTTTTGATAAAGTGATTCCACTGCCTGACAGATCTGAAATTTCACTTTCTGACAGATCTGAAATTCCAAACTTTGGCATTTTCAGTTTTGGCATCCTAAACTCCCCTTCTGTACCATCAGACTTCACACTTGCACTGTCCAAACAAATGTCACCTTTGAACTCTGTTTCTAAACATTTCGGTTCAAATGAACTTTTTGTCATGGACACCTTAGTATCACTTTTGAGTAAGCTGATATCTGGATCTGTCTGGAATGTTTTGATTTCTTCGATTTCACCTTTCAGCATTTTTACACTTATTTCTGTCTCCTCTACTTTTCTTGTAGTAAAACTGTTTTCTATGTCAGGTATTTGCACCAAAGCTCCATCACCTTCCACTACTGTATCTACTTCTGCTTTTGGTAGCTTTGTCTTAGACAGTGAGATTTTGGGCATAATTAAATGAGGTCTTTTTACTTGACTTTTTTTGGTGGCTATGTCTACATTTCCATCAGTATGAGCTCCTTGATCTTCTGAAAGAGTTACTTTTGGTTCTGTGCCTGTATCAACTGATACTATACCAAGACTAGATTCTTGTAGAGGTTCTTTTATATTTGTTTTAAGGCTTGCTTCCTTTTTAGGGGACCAGCTCAATGATGGCAATTTGAACTTTGGCATTTTGAAATGTCCTTTTTCTTCTCCATCTAAACTTTCTCTCTTAGTTATTTGTCCCTTAGCTTTTGGCTCCTTAGCTGCACCATGTAAATCCTGAGTGCTTACCTCTGACTGTGTGACAGAAATATCAACAGATGGTATGCCTACTGCTGAAGTCTTCACATCAGCTCTAATAATTTGGGGCATTTTTATTTTCTGTTCCAAAACATCCTTTTTTTCACCAAGTACATCAGACTCCATTTCAAGTGTTGAAGCTTCCACTGCAATATCAATAATATCCGCTGTTGTTTTCAGCTGGGGAACGTCAACATCCTTGGATAGGCCAATAGCAATATCTGGAATTTTTCCTTTAAAAAATGAGATCCCAGAGTTAGTGATTTGATATTTTACTTTTTAATTTTCTTTTAATTTAACTGTAGTTTTTAATTTTAATTTCTGTTCCACTTACAAATATTTCAGTCTCTCTACTCTAATTCCCAATACTTTCATTTTAGGAACCTTAATTCCTGCTACTGGTTTATCATTTCTGTCATCGACATCATCTGGTTATAACTCTCATTTTAAAAACTGACATCAAGTGAAAGAACTTGAGATTTTAGGTAAACTGATTTCCATATCTATTGTAGAAGCTTTAATTGCTGGTCTAAAATGTTCTGTTCTTGGAACTTTGGTCATTTTAATACTTTTCTAATATCATTGTCAATGGTTTCTTTATCTAATGTTTCTTATGAAATATCTTTTTCTTCCTTAGAAACAGACACTGTCATGTCATTATTCAGTAACAGCACACAGGTATTTCAGCTTCATTTTTGGCAAACTAGAATGAAGCCTTCTAATAGTCCTTTCTTCCATAGTTAGTTTCAATTAAAAAATCTATTCTTGTTTAAACTGTAAATGAGAGATCTTCTCTGCTTGTATTAATAGCAGTGGAACCATTAGATTCTTTCTTGAATTCCAACTAAGAAAAATTTGAATTTTGGCATCTTACGTTTATTTTTTTCTCATGTCTTTAATTAATTAATTTCATTTTTTTTATATTACTGCTGCTTAAATCCTAGCACCTGATTATGTAATATAAAATATCTTCAGATGGAAGGACAATATTTATCTCTGAACTTTTAATACTGGATTTAACATAAGGATACTTCAGAGATTTCAGATGATCTAACATCTAAAATTTGCATCAGAAATATTATCTCAGTCCTGCATACATTTATCTTTGAAGAGTCAGCCTTTCTCTTAGGTGTGCTAAAAATCAGAATCAATTGATTCTTCACTTTTAGCTCCTAAATTTGAATATATGTAGACAATAAAGGTTAAGTCAAAACCAGCCCAACTCACCAGAATAATATTGTTAGTAGGCAAGTTTTCACTTTTGTCAGATTTAAAAGGAGCTATTTAAATCTTTGAGAAACCAAATTAGGTATATAAAAACTTAAACTGGTATTTATCCTACCAACATGACAGTGAGATTCCAAAATATCTATGTCAATACAGGAACTTCTGTATCAGACCTTTCCAAACTACAGTAAGTTAATTCTGATAACTTAAGTTGCTTCACACAAATAAAACTACATCTACAGTAGATTTAGCGTGATAGGAACAACTTGCAATTCTGGTCTTAATATTTTCTTCAGACAGAATGTCAGTAGAAAGAAAATGTTGCAAAAGAATAAACAATACACTTAGGCTCTAAACTTTATTACATTTCTTAAGATTTTTCTAATGATCTAGAACTATTTTCAATGTTAGAATCCAACATTAATAATTCATGAAATCAGCATTGCAATCAACAGCTGCTTTGAATACTTCTGTTTCTATTAAAGGCAAGACGGCTTTTTCCTTTATTGCCATATTCCCATTAGAAGGGAAACTGCGAATCTCCATAGACATTAGAAGAGAAACTTCCAACATTGGCATTTTGAACTTAAATCCACCCACTTTCCATCTTAACCTTGCCCACCCACCCCCAATTTTTTTTTGCCAAATGGAGACTATACTTTTAAGTCAGGAGTTTTCAGTTCCATGATCACCTGGAATCTTTACATCAGATGATGAAAAACTAATGCCAGCCCTGGATTCTAGTATCTTCAACTGAAACTTGGTTGATGTCCAGGTTGACTTGGGCCCCTACCTTCTGATTTGGATTATTCCATGCTGGATATCTTGAACTTGGGCGTGGGAATTTTCATCTTACTTCCCTCAATTATGCTTTCAGCCTCCACTACTAGTATTGGCCTTGATTTTTTGAGGCAGGGGGAGGGGAATCAATTTTCCTTTAAGAAGGAAGATATTTGTCTCAATTTATGACAGGGAGATCTTTACTTCTGGAGACTTCAGCTTGGGCACTTTGATGCTAGCTATATTGATTCCAGACATTTTGCTTTCACCCTTCTCTTATCTCCATATCCAGGTTGGCAGCCTCAATTTCCACTTCTGGCAGTTTTTCAGCTTCAAGTTCATCAACTAGGATTTCAGATTATATGCTTTGGGGTGGTCTGCTTCTATGGAAGGTAGGGAGATTTCTCTCTGTGTAACATTTTCCCCCAGGGTAAGGAAAATTCCCAACAAAGGCATTTTAACCTTTGAACTTACTACCCTACCACCAAGATCAAAAACTCTCCCCTGCACAACAATCTTACCTGAAGAAGCTTGTACTTCTACACCGGGAGCATGCAGCTCCACAGTGATTGGGACCCAAGGAATCTTTACTTCAGGGGCTGCTATTCTGATGTCGCCCTCGAATTCATCTGTCTTAAGCTGGGGTTTTGTAGTGCTGAGCTCAACTTTTGGAAGAGAGGTGTGTACATCAGGCATGCTGGCATCAGAATCTATTTTAGGGCCCTTGATATCAGATTTGGAGAATCCTATACTGGGCATCTTGAACTTTGGCATGTGTATCTTCAGTCCTCCCCTGTCGATGGTGCCTTCAGCCTCTGGCAATTTTACGGCCGCTGCACCTTCAGACACTTCAACTTTCCCTTTGGGAAGGGTGATGTCAGTCTCAA